ACCTTTTTAAATAACTTATTGGATTTAATATATGTTTATTTAATAAAATGTGCTGGGGTGTTATTTTGTCTGACCACTATTACTCATTAAGTAAGCTCATAGCAAAAGTGGATGAGCCAAAAAGTTAGATGTTCCAAACAATCTGATATTATATTTTTTGGTTCATCCCATATGCGTGTGCTTGTGGATATTAATAAATTGAAAATATGTTAAATGACATAGTTGAAGTTGAAGTTATTAGTGTTCGATTAAATTATTAACTATTTTATACAAAATATCCGGCATCTTATCATACAATAACTTAATTGAAAAATTTTGAATTAATTGTAGTATTTATTTTTTTGTTATTGTTAATGATCAAAAATTATTTAGCATTAACAACAAAAATATAGAATAAATTGATGTTACATTTAATGAATTTATTTATAAAAGTTAAATTAAAAAATATTATTCAAAAAAGACAATTATTTTCATATTGTACTAATTGCTTAAGATTTAATTATAGTCATTATATATGTCATCAAATTTGACAGTCCTATTATTTTTACCTAATCTATTACTATATTAGTACCCACTTTTTTTTTTCTAAACTCAACAAATATCTAATAAAATTTAATAAAAATTTTTTAAAAAAGGGGTGCTTATTCATGATAGTGCCTGAAACCTACTTGAAGTATTAAAATATCTCAATAACTATTTAATCAAATTTGCTTAAAAAATATTTTATTTTAATCTTGAAATTATATAGAATTAAAATAAATAAAAATTAACTTGAAAACTATTAAAGATCCCTAATCAAAAACGAATGATAAATTTGCCTGTGGGACCGTTAAATCTCATGTCACAAGAAACTAGTAGATCCTCAATTTTGATTGGCTAATGCTGAGGATCTTCAAATTTCTGGCCCACATTACAAATTGTTTACTAATTTCAGGCCGGAATTAACTTTTTGGTTTTTCACGATAAAACTAGAAATTAGTTTTGTATTATTGTTATAATATTCATCTATAGAGTAGTTCTGTAAATTAGAATGTGAAATATCTAGAATTTTACGGGGCAAATATCTTTTTAGAAAAATATACAATTTTAAAATTAAAATAATTTACTATAAACTAATAATTTGTGATAAAAAAAATATCAATATCCTATTCAGTTTTTTTTTTTTGTTTTGAAATCTCTCCTAAGCAACTTAACACATTATATTTATTTGTTAATGCCATCACATATAGGGTTGGCGTTAGGTGTCCAATGTAAGTCCCATATAAAAATCTAATATGTCCCATATAAAAATCAGATATATAATTTTTTGTGTAATGATCTATATTACAAAAAATTCTTAAAATTAATAAAAAATGCTTCATTGTTTTAAAATACAGGTTCTGTTGAGTAATCAAGCAAATTTTTTAAGTTGGTTAATATGTAATTTACAGAGGCGATACAATTTGAAATTTGATAATTTTTATAATCGTTTCATAAGATTTTTAAATTTCAAATTGTATCTCCTCAGTAAATTACATATTAACTGTTTTAAAACTTTGCTAAAATACTTAGCAGAACCTATATTTTAAATTAATGAAGAGTTCTTTGAAAAAAAATTTTTTTATTAAATTTTTATTTTTAATTTATTGAAATAATCTATTTGTCGCAGGTGGTGATAATATCTGAATTTATTTATAATTGTATTTAGGATCAGAAAGATTATAGTATATAGTAAAATTATGTAAGGAATATTTTTTGTTAAGCCATGGAACTTGATTTCATAGACATAATTTTGAGTTATTTTGATTGGAAGTTTTTGAGATTTCTTGTAACCACCGGCGACAAATAGATTCGCCCATATTTTTTAACAATGTTTAATCGATAATTGTGATTCCAGTTTAGGTTCAAAATAAACCCGGATTGGAATCTAGATTTTTAAAATCGCTAGCAAAGTTTTAAAAGTGAATAGCTTAACAACTACTGATTTAAATTGGATGAGATTTTTACAGTAGTTAGATGTGGTATTGGACAATAGCTCATAAAAATTTCAGCCAATTTGGACTTATAGTTCTTGAGTAATTGCTTAAAAACTAAAAACTTTTAGTAAAAATATTTATCTATCGAATTTAAATATGTTATAGCTAAAAATCATATCTAACTACTGCTAAAATTTTAGCCAATTTTGATTAGTAGTTCTTGATGTATATAAATAATTTAGTTAAAATAATTAGCTATAGTTTTAAGCAATTACTCAAGAATCACTTATCTAATTTGGATTAGCAGTTATTGAGAAACTCACAGCCAGATATTAGTATAAATTTAAAGAAATGCATTGTAAAAAATTCAAAGTCTATAGATTTATAATATTGACAGCAAAGTTTAGCAATGCATCCGGATTACATTTGACGCACCTCATGAGGTATACCTGATCTTGAAATGTGATTGGTTTTAAATCACATGTAGGTGAAAATTGGTGGCGATCTAGGGGTAGTTTTTTTGTGGACAGGCAATTTTTTAGATCGTACGTGAGAGGGAAAATCAGTAAGTAAAAATTTGGACCCTAAAACTTATGATCAGCGTTTTTGGTAATTTCAGTAATAAATTATCATACATTACTGGAATTATCAAAACACCGATCATAATTTTTAGGGTCCAAATTTTTAATTACTGATTTTCCCTCTTGAGCACTCAATTTCTAATTTGCAGAATTTTAAAACTCATTGCCAAGGGCCAAATGATCTGGAAATTTGACCAGAATTAACCAGATTTTTGGGGTATGATCTAAAAAATCAGCCCATATGCTGATCTTCACGACCTTCATATGATTAACACAAAAATCATAATTACTGGTTTAAAATTTATATTACGGCTTCAATTCAGTTTATATAGTTTGTTTAAACAATAGGAAAATCGTTGAAACTGCATAATCTGGACACTCTAATTTACAAGTAGTGTGTCCAGATTATGTAGTTTCAATTCATTGAACAATAAGAAAATCATTGAAATTTACAAGATGAATAAAATATAATATATTGTATTGCACAAAATAAATAAACTTATATTTTCTAAATGATATAAATAAAGAATTGCAATAAAATGACTTTAAAAAAAATAAATGATCATGTTTCTGAAGCCGTTTACACTAGTTGTAATTTTAGTTTCAAAACTACTAAAATAGGTGAGGAACTTCATAAGAATAGGAATTACAATAATGCCTATGAGATTTTTAAAGCTAACTCTGAAAGAAACGAACCGGCCGCTTCATTCTGGATTGCTTATTACATTGAACATGGTTATGAAATCATCGAAGTTAATAAATTTAAAGCATACATGCTTTATAAAAAGGCTGCTGACCTTGGTAACATAGAGTCGCAGGCCAGATACACGTATCACAAACTAATTTAATTAAAGGAAACAACAGACGAATCGATTAAACCAGTTTATAGGACGGATGTTGTGAAATATTTTAAAATGGCCTCTAATAGTAGCCACAACATGGCATGTTGTCAATTGGAGTAATTTATTATAATGGATACTGTGGTCAAGCTGTTAATAAAGAATAGTGAAAGAGTATATAAAAAAAGCGGAAAATAATAATTATAAACATGCTAAAAAACTGATGGAACAAATTGATTCTGGTAGAGATAAAATACAGTAACGCTGCAAAGCGTGTAAGTATATTTCATATGATTATTCACTTTATTTAATAAAGATATATAGGTAATTTCATTACTTCTGATATATCACATATTAATATAATTTATTAAAAAAGTTTATAATTAATATTTTATCAAATTTTTGCTATATAAAACTAAGCTTTTGGGATTAAATATAATATAATTTTAACTAATAAAAATAAATAAATTATATTTTAGTTAAATCTTTTTAAATCTTGATTATTGAATTTTTATATTAAATTATTATATAAATTTTAAAAATCTACCGTACAGCTACATTAACAATTTATCATACTAAATAACTTTATTTAAAAAAAATTTCTAGTATATTAATGAAAAATTAAGGTTGTATATTATTATATTTAGTAATTCTAGTTACTATTAAATTATATTAAAATTTAAAAAATCAACTTAATATAAAAATTCAAAATTGTTTTAGATTTAAAATATAAAACCTTTTTTGATTATATAAAAAGTTTTTGTTAAATCTAATAAAGATAAGAGCATGGTCTCACCTTTAACATTAAAAAAAAAATAAAAAAATTCAAAATTTTACTTAATCTTAATTATTTTAAAAACTGTAGCATAGAATTTTATAATTTTTTTTTATTTAAAAGGTGTAGATTTAAAGATTTTAGAATTTAATTTTTAGTTTAATATTTTTTTTTTGTATTAAGATGAGGCCTTGCTTATATCTTTATTTGGCAATTTATTTAAATAGTTATAATAACTACTTAACTTGTACAAGACAAATAAATATAAATTATATGCAAGAATAAGAGCTTAGACTAAAAGATTGGTCTGAAATTAACCAAAAACTCAAGCTAGTTATCTGCAATCTAAACTTACTAGAGTAGTTAAGACTCACCTAGGTTTAAATAGTTAGTATAAAGTTTGTAGATATACTATATTAGATTCATACTTTGGACCACTATTGGAACTTTTGTTTGGCCTGTCTTTTCAGAGAACAAGTATTGTTGCCTTCTGTATATAGTTGGTCTGTCATACTACAAAGACAGTTGTATATGAATCTTTGTTGCCATTAATAAGCTTGGTAGTAGGTCTGTTTAGATATTAAAAGTTGGTTGTATATAGGTATATTGTTATGTTTTTTCCACTTTGCAAATCTGTCACAGTAAGGCTTCCATATTTGTTCATATATCTCAGAGAAGATAAGCAGTAAGGTTTGGATAATAATATTAGCTGCCTCCTTGTATTGTATGTCAAGTGTTAATAGTGTTTGCAGTAGGTTGGAGGAGATTAATCATTTTAGAATTGTTAATAGTGGGTATGGCAGGAGGAGCGAATGTTGGAGAAACTGAATGTAGGGTAAGATTGAATAAGATTTATAACAGTTCTGTGTGATACAGAGGGTAGGTTCGAAAGAAGTTTAGTACTGGTTTTTGTAATTAACATGTGTATGATTTGTTTGAGAGTGTGAGAGTTCTGACATATAAGCCAGTATGTAGGAGAGTCTGAACTATTGCATGAGAAGTAAGTGAGAGTATAATAGATTTTGGGAGAGATGAGGTGAAAGTAGTGGCATGTTGGTAAATCGTTGAGGAGGTTTTTAACTCTGAAGGCTTTTATTTGATTCAATTTGGAGGATGTGATATTTGTAGTAACCTTTTGATTGTTGTTAATATAATGCCAAGTAGAGTTCCAGTCCATTGCTAGTGCATAACTTTCCAATTCTGTGTTATGCTTCTAGGAGGACCACATCGCTATAGCTTGTGCCTTGCCAAGGGTTTTGATAAATTGTCTTGTGGGTTTTTCTATGTAGTATTCCTGCTATTGGATAGTAAAGTGTGAGTTATATAAATTGGTAAGATTGA